TTTTTTTTTTTTTTTTAATTTCTCTTTTTATAAATCTCAATGCATTGGGATATTAGGTTACCAACTTCATTTCTCACAACAAATGATTTTTTGAAGTGAATAATTGTGTTAAAAATTGTCTGTCAGGTTTGATTAGTCCAGTGAAACACCACTACCCACACTCTGGTGACAGGGTTAAACCATTTGTCCCCATCACATCATTTTKGAATCAGAGGAAGAGGATGAAGCCACTCAGCAGGGCTGGTCTAATTATTGTGAGCATGCTAAATGTCTCCTGAAGATGAGGTCTGTAATGAAAACTGAGCAGTCACTCTTTTAGAAAGAATATAATAGCATGTTTTATAGATTCCTTTAACAATACTGCCTGTTATTTATTGCAGCTGTAAAATGGATGCATAAGCCCTACTTTATTTCAGATTCAACTCTTGCTATTTCTTCCATGGGTGCACACAGACCCCATTTGTATCTTTAATCGAGGGAATATGACAGCAATAGCTCCTAAAAAAGGATTGAGAAAGAAAGTGCAAGGGAATGGTTTCTGTTTCATTGTCTATCCGAGGTATGGGCTTCCCTAAAAATGTGTACATTCATATGTATGTCCAAAATAAGGATAAATAGGATCAATCCCAGACCTTCAGAAATGAATAGCTGAAATTCCAGTTATGTTGTCTGGGACATGATTTTAATCTTAGATTCTCCAGTCCCCAATCAATTCTATCACCTCTCCTTACATTTTCAGAAACACTATTAGGTCTTTGCCTTTTAAGATTAGAGAGGTCACAYATAATGCTTATCAACAATTCTAGCACTTTTGCAGACTTGTTTATGCTGGTCTCACAGATAACAATGTCATATGGTTGTCCAGTCTGAAGTCCAGCAACTCAGACTTGAAATAATTCATAATTAGCTAATTTACAAATAAAAAATTCTCAAGCTCGTTCCTGAATATTTGTAGGAGAAAAAAAAAATAAAATCTTACAAACATGCCCTCAAAGAAGATCATTAAAACCTTCCCTTGATGAGCCCTTCCCATACCTCTGTCATTGGCTTGGCCCTGCCTTTTACCTTCTATCTCTACAATAATCAAAAGCKCTTTTTAGATGATAGAAGAATTTCCCAATTTTCTGCCATATTTTATACCTTTTGTATGAAGACCTTTTATTTTATTATCATTTTTACCTGTCATCAATATTCTGCAGGTTTTTTACCCTTGTATGAATATTTTTCATGGATCAAGAAACCTATTTATTCTTCTTCCTTCTCATCTGGTGTACAATAAAAATGTCTCCAGAAAAGAAGCCTAATGAAAGAAAAAGTGGATGTAGAAATTGCTTCAGAGTGCAATAATCACATAAAGTCATCTCATCAAATAAAGGGCTTATTGTGGYCCTGCCACAAACTGTCTGAGCAGAGCAGTCTAAAATACCTGATCTAGAGCTGTCTGAGATCAGCAGAAAGACTTCTTCCAGTTTTTAGATGGCTCTGTGAGGTTATTCTCATTTTATTCTCCAAGTCAGTCTCCTTCCCCAGCCCACTGCAAGGAAAATGTGTGAGTGRGAAGGCCAGGGAAAAAGGCAACTGGTGTGTGTGTGCCCATTCCCTGRTGTCCCAGCACCATTTCTCCTAAAAGCTTCTCTCTCACCTCCATCTACAGCCTCCTGAGGACAGGGGAGAGCTGACAGGAAAGGAAGGGTTGCACTTCCTTTGTGTCTCCTGTTTTTCCAGTTGCACCCAAGTSATGCCCTGAGTCTGGTCTGGGTGCTCACCTGCTCTGAGTGTGGGGCTGTGCACGGGTACCTGGTGATCCCCTTGGTCTTTTAACCTCTTCTTCTCTATTTTCCCCTCTTTTTGCCATCCTGAAACCAAGGTGAGTCCTGATCCCTGTGGCTCATGAGAGCTGATGGCAGTGGCCAGCATTGACCTTCAGAGCCCTCTCAAAACTGTGCTCAATTATCCTGCTTATTCCACAGGAGAAAGTGAAACTGCTTAATTACAAACACAGTTGGTAACACAAAGACCTTATAGGCCGGGAGAGCAGAGATAATGCTACTCCAGCAGAAATTAGGATTTCTTTGTAATGATTTTGCACTTGGTAGTGCCAGCAGACCAGTTTCCTCACTAAGTTTATATAGTGCTGTTTCTCACAATATATTCTTGTTGCTATTGCTCCTGGTCTTGGAATCAGTACCCAGGAGATGCAACAGGAATCTCCTTTGCAGATATTTTTAGAGCACTGAATATACTATCAAATATACTATTTGAATATACTATCAAATTTGATTCTGTCTCTGACAGTTATTTTTAATTATGCTTATTKATGTTATGACTTAGAAGTTATTTTAGCATACCAGTAGTATTTTGAGAGTTATGTAGRGAAATAAATATAACCTTTTAGATAAAACTTTATGAAAAAGGCTACTGGATCTCACATGTAACCACATATAAACAGTCCTTAGGGGAAAATTATTGATAATCAGCTCAAAGATTAGGGATGAATCCTTAAGTGCATTCTATCTACTATATTCTGTGCTACAGAGATCTAGGACCAGARCCAGGATAATTCATCACAGAAAATTTTTTACTGGCCCTTTCCACATTGAAACCCAGTTTCCTTAACCAAAGTTGGTTGAAATTGACTGAGATTGTTCTTGCCTTGTTTTATTTTTTCCCATCTTTTTGAAGTTGRTCGAGTAGGAAGTTCAGAAATGGGTCAAATGACTGATGTTCTTTCATTCTGCCAAGGTGAAAGGGAAGAGAACTTTGGCAGAAAACATTGCAGATAATGGAGGTTTGAGAGAAGCTTTCAGGGTAAGTAGATGAGAAATATCTGAAACATAGTATTATTAAAAAAAAAAAAAGCTGTGGTTATCTTCATGTTGCTGAAAGGCACTTAATATCTGTTTCTTATCAGGCATACAGGAAATGGGTTACAGAAAAGAGGGGAGGAGAAGAAGAGCCTTTGCTGCCAGGCCTTGCGTTCACACACAACCAGCTTTTCTTCCTGAGTTATGCCCATGTGAGTAGMACAAATGTGATTCAAATCCCCATCTATTAACCTGAGCAATGTGTGGTGCTGGGACAGGCCTGCTTTGTTTAAGTCTGCATCACCCAAAACCAGACTTTTGATAGTATAAGCACAGACTTCTCCCAGACCATTATTTCTTTTTCATTCCCTCTTTGTTTTCATCTATCCATGGAGCCAGAACTGCTGAAATTATTCTTGGTTTTGCACAATGTTGTCACAGCAACTTTTTCTGTACTTCCTATTTCTCTCCATTAAAAGAGTCTTCCTGCATGTATTGACTCCTCACACTCCTCCAGTTTTAACTTCCCAGATTCCTGGTGCTTGCAATACGCAGCAGTTTCTGACTGCTTCCACCAAAAAATCCTCTTAAAAATGTACCACCACCATTTGTAACTGTGTGTGCTGTTCAGGGAAACTAAACAGCAGTGAAGAAAGTCTTAGTTTATTTTTCCCACCTGTACACTAAATATGCTGTAACAAAACTTTGTTAAAGGATGTGAGCTTTTTAGAAAAATGTAGAGCAAGGCAAAGGATTAGAAATTTATTTATTTGGTTAAACAAATTGGGACAAACTCCCTACATGAGAAGTAAAAGTCGGGCTATAAAACTCATTGAAGGAATGAATCATCCAAACTGAAAAACCAGGACCCAGTGCAACCAGTCCTGGCTGAAAATAATTTATCTGCTGAGAGTCAGTGTAGCAKTCTATGGGCCTATGGCTGTTTCAGTTTGGCTATATTGAGCAAAGAATATATTCCACTTTGATAATTTATGCTGAATTTAGTTTTTCTCCAAGAAAATTTTCAAGCTCTAGGGTTTTATGGGACCACTGAAGGAATCATGTGTCCAGTGGTCYCTCACAGGGAAGGAGTACTGTATGCAAGGTATCCTCAAGCTCAGCCTATTTTCACAGAGCTCAAGACACTCATCAGACCTATTTAAACAGTCAGAGCTGTGTTCAGCCAGACAAAATTGCATTGAAGTCCAGTGAAATCCTATGGGCTATCTGGATTATAGGATTTTATTGTTAGGGAAATTTAACGTAGAGACTTAGGTRAGGTAGGGTCTGTTTAAAGATTTTTCATGCAATGGATACAGAATAAGGGCAATTATTCAATTGAGCAAATATTCTACCTACCCTGTTTTGTGGTCAGCTATGATAGGGTTAAATAGTTTATCGTGAACAGGGAATTGGAGAACACTGATGAAAATGTGGAAAATGTGTAATTTCAAAAGAAACTGACATTCCAATATGGAATAAATGTATAAATAAATGTCAGTATTAGTATAGCTGCAGTTCTAGAGATGATAACCATCATTATGTGTACCTTTGATACACATTACATAGCTTTGACACCAAGAAGTGTGTTTGGTAATTATTAAGGTGTGAGATGCTGCAGGACAAGCTGAAAGACAAGCTACCATTACAGAGAACTTAAAAAAAAAAAAAAGAACAAGTGGCTGTGATTAGATGATGGGAAAGAGTGTGTAGAGAAAAACAGTGGGTGGAGGCTGGATCCATTAAGGGATTTGAAAAACTAGAGAATGTACCAAGAGAAAACTGCAGATTGGCAAAGATGAAACAAAGTAGGAATTTRTGGTGTCTTTCCATTTTATGCATTCTATAAGTAATAGGCATCTTAAGAACAGTGAYATTACATTTTGCTTTACTTACAAAKTCATCCCAGCTAATGTGCCTGTTTCTGTTTTATTATTTTTTTATTATTTTTATTAGGTAAGATGCAACTCCTTTAGACCGGAATCTGCGAGGGAGCAAATATATACTGGAGCTCACAGCCCTCCTCAGTTCAGGTAGTGCTAATAAGGAATTTCCTGGGTGTACATACAGAATCAATCACTGCAGAGCAGAAGTGCAGAAATTGAGCATTTTAAGAGGGGGTTAAGAGCAAACACAAAATTGGATTGTGCTCTTTGTTTRGATTGAAATTGAACTGGTTTTATTGGCTTATCTTTCACTATTACGAATGCTCTTCTGTAAAATTGAGGAGCTTGCATCTCCCTTCAAAAGCATTTGAACCAGAACACACTCTGATCCCTGTGATGTCCTGTAATCATGGTGTGAGTACCTAAAATGCCTCATCTATCACTTTCTTTCCCTAAGCAATTCTAGTTTAGAAAACAGTGAATATTGGAGGGGTCTTTGATTTAATCTGTCTGAGTTCATTAAAAGCTTCTAAGTCACTACCTTGAACTACATTGATAATGCAAAGCAAGACGTGCCCTGTAAGTTCAGCTCCAGACCAAACTCTTTTAATGGCCTTCAAGCAATTCTAGAGAATTCTACCACTTTCTGTTGACTAGAAGAGTTTAAGCTAGTTAATGAGGACAAAAGTAGTGTAGTATGCAAATCTGTGCACTTTTTAACAATTGAAAATAAACCACGACAATGAGGACAGGAGTATTAGGCTGACCTTCAGCCTACAGAGAGATTCTTTTCATAATTTGTACCCTTGTTAAGATTTTGGTAAAGTAACCATCTGCTCTCTAAAAGTCCTCAGGTTTATTTACCTATAGATTTATTTATAGTCTGAATCATTACCTAGTTACATTCCCACAAGATGGTGCAAATCACAAAATATACAGGGATCTCTAAGGATAGAGTATTTATTAGGGAAATTCCTGGAGGCCTCAGGCTGTGAAAGAAAATTTCAGAGAAGTTTAGATTAATTTGAGACCTAGAAAATACAGACAAAACTTTTTCTTAGTTTTTGTGTGAGATGATGAGAACTGATTTCTGTATTAGAACTGAAGAAAAGCAGTGGTGCTTGTCTCCTCTTGCAAATGATAAAAAAAAAAAAATCTAAATCATCTAAAAATCTACATCATCTAAAAAATCATCTTATTTTCTCTCAGTTTGGTTTAATTTATGTCCCAAGACCATCAGGAGTATAACTGCAATACAGCTATCTYCAACACTGACAGCTCTTTCTGTCCAAAAATCTCAAACAGCCCTTTTAAAAGTAACTATGAAAGGTAAAAGTAAAAACTATAGAAATGAGCAATACATATCTTGAGCATGGGTGTGTGCATCTGAACTATTCACACCAGGTTCTCTTCACAGTGAAAAAGGAAATGGCATTTTAGAAGGAAAAAAATAATAAAAAAAATCTATAAATAATCTTTCAGCAGGTAATAAATCTAAATTACTTAGACTCTGCAAGTACATCTTTCTATTGATTACCCAGGGAGGCCAGGGTGACCTGCCCAGGGAAAGGTGTCCCTGCTATAATTCATTGGGATGAAATCCAGACAGCCCACTCTGATTTCAGTTAATGTGTGGCAATATCAAACCCTGGGTAGAAAAGTGGCGTGCATGCACACATAAAGATTTTTTCATAACCTCTGGGTTTATCTCTTTTTAATTGGCAGATTTTCAGTATTAGCATGTGCCTTTGCTATTTTTGAATGCCAATTTCAGATTGAAATCTCTGTAATGKCARGCAGAACTCCCACCAACATCAGCARCAGTTCTGCATGACCAGCTCTTGCTGTTCCAGTCCCTGAATATGTATCTGCAACATTTTTACAGWAAAGCTGTATATTTTATTTGAAGCCTAACCTCATTTGGTAATCCTCCCAACAAAACTGACCTTTAGACATTTTTGTGCCAGATGACTGCAAATTTTCTTATTCACAGAAAGTCTAATCAATGTAATAAGAATGTTTTCTACCATGCTGAGCTACACTGAGAAGCTGATTGTCTGCAATACAGAAAAATGCTTCCTCACTACACAACAAAGGAAAGGTGTACAATTAATATCACAGTAGATTCTTTTCTGCTCTTAACTCTTTAACACCATTGCAAGTTTCAGGTTAGTAAACTCCAAGACGATTAAAAGCATGGGGAAAAGCAACAAACAACAAAACCACAGTCTTGCAAAGGTAAAATAATGGTTTCTGATGCATCAAATTGTGAGAGCAGGAGACAAGGATGAGTGCATGCAAAGAACAAGCTCTTCCCCTGTGCCCAAGGTGCCAGTCTGGGGTGCAGACACATTTYCCAGCTTGTGTCAGGCAGGGATTTTCTGTTCTTTCAATATCACACTCCTGTGGTAGAAGGATGAGGGCTTGGGAGCTGCTCAGGGTAGAAGGCTCAGAAAACATATTTCCAAAATATCAGAGGAGTTGAGATGCTCACAGGTGTAAGGCTGAGCTGCCCAACAAGAAACCACTGCCAGCAYAACCCCAGTGTGTGCTTACATCCTCCTGCTGGAAGGGCAGGAAGAAGGATTCCACTGTGCTGATCTCCCACTTCTGGTGCCAAGAGTCACACCAGAAAATTACAAAATGCATTTGTTTTTCACTGAGTTTCTAGCAAAGCAAGATGCTTCTCAAAGCATGAAAGAAAACGAGGTTTTCTTAATGTTAACTTTAACTGGGAGCCCTTCTCCTGATCTCCTGAATATTTCGCTTTTCTTTATGGAAAAATTATATGAAAGCCTGAAAAATTCAGCCTGAAGTGAAAACACTGAAACGCTTGCAGACTGTAGTGTTTACCAAAAGGTAACCTGCACGTCTGGCCAAACAGTGACAGAAAAGAATAGATACAAAACACACAAAAAGTGGGTGAAAAAAACAGAAAGAAAGAAGGACTTTATTGTGGGACAAGCCTCTTTTATCCACTTTAGCAACCAGAGTATACATTTGTGTCAAACATACATTGGTCAAGAGACAGCTGTTTAATTAGTAATCAGTACATAATTGGTGAGTTTGCAAAAGCTATAGTATTAGTAATGTTTATAATTTTTAGCTACCTGTGTTATCAATTCTACATTGCAATCTCCTTTTCTCAACAGTAGCCAAGGTTGTGTTATTCCTCCTCCATGCAGGCTGTTAACATTCCCTTTCTTTTCCCAGGCCTCAGTCGTACACAATAATTGGCTGAATTTCACAATCAGGGTTTGTGGGGCCCTTTTCCCCCACACATGTCCATTTCTCTTCTCTTTGCAGAGTAATTGGAGCCATGAGCAATTTTGAAGAGTTCCGCAAAGCTTTCAATTGCCCGGCGAACACGACGATGAACCGCGGGGCAGAATCCTGCCGGCTCTGGTAACCATCCATCCCTTCCAGCTCCTCTGCCAGCAGCAAGCTGCAATGTGAACTGCTCAAACCCATTGCTGGAGTATCAGAATAATCATCAGAAATCTGGAGAGGTGTTACTTCAAATGCGTCTTTCTCATCCGCGCTATTTAGAGCCCAGAAACATTCCGAATAGAAGAGCTTTTCTTTAAGGATAATAATAAAAAAGTGACTCCTTTTAACCATAAAACTACTCTGCAGTTGCATTGCTGTTGATGGATAACTGCCATTATCAATTCCAATTCCTGATTTATAGTTGAGCAAGAGGTAAATGCTAAAATTCAGTTTCAATCTATTGCTCTGCAGGGGTTCTATGCAGAATGCTCCCACACAAAATTTATTCTTTCTGGATGGAGAAATTCATGAGATCTGCTATAAAGCCAGCTCTGATCTGCTGCGTGATACTGCATTTTCATAACTTAAGCTGTCACAGCCCAGCATGCCATAAATGATGTTGCATGATGTAAAGACACGAGACTTTATATAAATTCAGTTTAATATGTCAGATTAGTGCCTCAGATTTTGGAACAGTTTCAAGGTGGGGAAGTACCTCATGGTATCTATCTGCAAGGACTAAAACATAGGGGACACTTGTCACATCATGGCCTCTTCTAATTTTAGAACAGCTTATGATAAAAATCAATGYATGATGAAAATTAGAGGCTCTCAGAGGGGATTCCCAGCACCATGATRCTCATAAATATTGCAGCATTTATTCCGGTTTACACTGTAAGCAGTTTTTTCCCGGGGGATGGTTTTTACCTTGTGCTGAAGACAGCTTCATCTACATTTATTTTTTTAAGCCAGAAATATTATATTAGTTTTAAATGACAGGTTTTCTAGTGTCTGGTTCTCACAGAACGTTGTAAGTAGGGTGTGTGTTTGCCCTCATGTTCTGGATAGGGTCAGGATGACTTGTGATTTTAAGGAAAGAGTATGTGACAAGAAAACAGAGTACCAAAATCATYTGACTTGCCTGGATAAAAAAGGCAATTTAGGAGTAGAGGACTTATAAACACAGTAATAATGCAGGCCATCTGAGTTTTCAATCTGATTTTTAAGAGTATTCATGAAAAGAGATTTTATTGCAGCAGAAAATYTTTAACACATAACTGTTACTGGGTGGGGGGAAGCAGGGGGGGCTGGGGGAGCAGGCACACACAACTCTTTTTTTCCCAACAGAAAGGTATCTGTATAAGTGGTCTATATTTATACCTTGTGTATGGAATAATTTCAAAAGAAGTTTATTTAGATTATTTAATTACTGCAAATCCATATTGAGCTCTGTGTGTATATACTTATATATATACAGATATACAAAATACAATTTTTTTAATGTGCTTAAATTTTATTTTATCAGTATAGAAGCTTAAGATAAACTTTTTTTTTTACAAGGATTGGTCAAATATTGTTGGATAAGGACTTGGTTGGATGGTCACATCAGAGAGGGGTGGTCAGCAATGGGAATTTGCAGCCCAGAAAACCAACTGTGTTAGAGGCTGCATACAAAGCACCGTGGGCAGCAGGGTGAGGATGGGGAGAGGAGAACACCCAAATTATCAGAGAGGTGGAGAACCTTTCCTGTGGGGAACAAGAACTGGGATTGGTCAGCCTGGAGAAGGGAAGGCTTCGGGGTGATCTAAATTCAGCCTTCAGTAGCTGAAGGGAGCCTACAAGAAACATGGAGAGGGGGGCTTTTCACAACACCAGATGGGATGGTGTCAAAAAGAGTTGTTTTGGATTAGATATTAGAARGAAGTTCTTTAYKRTGAGGGTGCTGAGGCACTGGAACAGATTCCTCAGAGAAGCTGTGGGTGCYYCATCCCTGGAAATGTTCAAGGCCAGGTTGGGTGRGGCTCTGAGCAAYCTGGTGGAAGTGAAGGAGGGTCCCTGCCCATGGCATGRAATTGGAATTARATGACCTTTAAGGCYCYTTACAACCCAAATCTATGATTGTYCAACAATCATGGTGGAGGGAGGTTTACTCCAGCCAAGAAACTGAAGCAAATTGGGTTATTTTCCTGTGTGTCTTTAGAAAGAAGGGGAACATAATGGGAGCACAATTTAGACAGAAAGGCAGAATCCCAAAATACCTTCCAGAATGAAAGAAGCAGACATTCCTGACCTTAAGGCTGTGTTGGCACTTTTTAGGAACAAAATGATTTGGACTGGAACATTCTTTTATCAATTTTTCCCTAGAAAAGTCAAAGTTTTCTTAAGAGGAAAGCATTTTTCCTTCCTTCATGCCAGCTGTGTTCCTGAGTTCCATGGATTACAGTTTATCATTTGAATTGCCACTATTAAATATTTTTCCTGGAGGTATTTTTCCCATAAATTGTGATGGCAGTATTTTTATAGAGCTCTTCCTCAAACAAGCAGGTGTGGGGTTTTAGCAAAGGGATACTATTTGTCTGTTAATGGGGAAGTTCCTTAGCAAATCGAGCTCTGTACTGACTTCATTTCTCTGCTAACGTGAGCACTGACATGACTTGATTTTGGCTGCTTTGGATCAACAGCACAAAGTTCAGAGTTCACATCCTGGACCCATTAAAGGTAGTACCAATATGGATGTTGTCCTCAGAAAAGTCAGGACATCACTCAAGCACTTGTGTGAATTTTCTAAATTACTGGACTATGCTAAGATGTTTTCACAACAGTTGAAATRATTGGGTTTTCTAATTTTATCTCTCAAATCAGAGATGCATTTGCAAGAACTCCTCTCTCATGGCTGTTTTCCAGTGGGACAGATTCTGTCATTTTGTGATTTATGAAGTTGTTTCTCTGTACTAGATAGCATTTTTTTTCTAGAACGTCTGATGTTTCTTGCCTTAAATGTCACTCTTCTTTCTCCTTGCTAAGCTCAGGTCTTTCATGTTTAATACCAAGGGTTTTTGAACTGTGCTGTGTGTATTCCCAAAGGCACAGGAGCAGGAGCTGGGTGTTTTGGGGACAATGCACAAGGGTTTTTGAACTGTGCTGTGTGTATTCCCATAGCACAGGAACAGGAGCTGGGTGTTTTGGGGACAATGCACAAGGGTTTTTGAGCTGTGCTGTGTGTATTCCCATAGCACAGGAACAGGAGCTGGGTGTTTTGGGGACAATGCACTAGGAGAGAGGGGAAGAGAGGGTCTGACCAGATTTTGTGTGCTGATTTTGGCAGCTGAGAGGGCACCCACACACTGCCAGGAAATCCAGGAGTCCTTGCTGCTGACTGGCACATGCATCAGTGGTATCCTGTTCAGGAAATCCTTGCTCTTGACTCAGGTTCTCAGTTCTGGGGTTTAGGTCTTGCCTATGTCCACACAAGGTTTAGGTCTGGCCTGCCTCACCTGTAGCTTTTTACCTCAAACCAAAGAGCTGATCATGCAATTTACAGTTCACTTTGGATAAGCTACTTAGGTACCATTTGGAAAGCAAAGCAAARAAGGTAATTAAACAAGTTCTTAAAGCTTTTATCATCAAGGACAGCCAAGATATTAGTGATGGCTTGTGAGGGCTCTTCCCATTTCCTCTGATTTATCAGACCCCTGTCTTTGCTTTGTTGTTTTATTGTCTCTGCCAGCAGTGCCTTCCTGCCTTGCTCTCAGGTTCATTTATTATGTCTATGCAAACAAATCCTTCACCATATATATCCTTTTCCCAGAGCTTCAAAATTGTTAASTTTTTGCTTAATTTTTGGTAATATTGTGTAATGTTTCTTCCTGTTGGCTCAGTAATCTGCTTCTTTTTCAGTGACCAGGAGGGGAAGGGTCACCTATGAATGAAATATTTTTACCTTTGTAAATTTGAAGAGATATTTTTCTACTGTGTAGACATAAAGAAACAGCCTCTACTCCTATCCCAAATCTCCTT